TTTTTTTTTTTTTTTAACACTTAAAATGTCTTATCACATAAAACTACCAGCTATTGTAACCAAAAATAAAACAAATACATCATAGGCCCATAGGGTTGGTAGTCGGGGCATGATGCGGACAGCGAGCACACAGCTGACATAAAGCAGAAACAAGGCCGCCACCACTCAGGACACTAGAAGAATACGAAACCCAGAAAGGACGTTTGCGGAAAATTGGAGTAGAGAGAAGGGGGGGGGAAAGGGTGGGGAACAAGAAGGATTCAAGCGACTCTCTTCTTTGGTAAAAATGACATCAAAAATTTACAACACGGGACGTCTCCCAAGGATGCCCAAGAGACCGAAAAAAGAGTCCCGAGGACTCCCTCTCTCCTTCCTCCCTCTCTTTCGCAAACAAAATCAAAACTTTATATGACAATTCCCGAAGGTGGCAAGAAAAACGAACAATGCTCTCTCTCTCTCTCTCTCTCTCTCTCTCTCTCTCTCTCTCTCTCTCTCTCTCTCTCTCTCTCTCTCTCTCCCCACGCTCCCATTCTCTTTTCCTCTGCCCTCTTTCTGTCTCCTCTTCCCTCTCCTTCCCGACATAGACCATATCTTCGATTCTCTTGTCCTCTCCCTCTCTCTCTCTCTCTCTCTCTCTCTCTCTCTCTCTCTCTCTCTCTCTCTCTCTCTCTCTTTCTGTGTGTGTGTGTGTGAGGCTTTCTATAGTCCCTTCCCTCTGTCGCGCTCCCGCCTCTCTCTTAACCCTCGGTTAACCTCCCTGCCTACGCCAGGCAACAAACACCTCTGCCAGTAGTCAATCACATATTCCTGCTCGCTCGCTTAACGGAGCGTCGGTTCCTCGTGTGCGCACTTGACAGCAGTGGTAACGAAGACGGCGCGACTCCAGTCTTCGAAAGGCCGGCTCTCTAAACGAATCGCTTGCGTAAGCGGACAAGTCAGCAAAAAGACGCCGAAAAAGATACCAAGGCCATACTCACACTCGTAATTTTCCAACGCAATCTTACCGTAATGGCGATGAGATACATCTCAGCAAGTCCCTAGTGTGTGACTATACCCTAATCTGTCGTCGAAGCCGAAGAAGAAGAAGAATTGCATTCTCACTCCAGACAGCAATCTGTCCGTCCGCACCGATCCAAGGATCGAACACGCGACCTCCAGGTTAAGAAGTAAACACTCGAACAAACGGCTAAGTGAACTGGGGTGAAAGTTAAGCCCCAAGACGAGTACTTAAGAAGAAGCGCTCTTCTTGTAAACCCCCACCTCCGCCGGCCGAAGAACCCTATCAAGAATCTTGTATCCTACTTTAGTAACCATCGCCACCTTCCCTTCCTTTTCCACCCCTTCAAACTGATCCACCTCAAACATTGCCTGATGCTCGTTGGGATTAAACTCCTCACCTATCGGATCGAACTTCTCGACTCCATATTTCTTTAACACTTTCCCCAGCTGCTTCTCCGTCATCTCCACTCCCACAGCGAAGTCTCTGAGAAGCTTTGTGGGATCGCTCTCCGGAGGCAAAGACGACGCCTCTCCCCCATCCCCCCCCTTGAGGAAATCCCTCGGGATGACACTCATCGCCCGCTCGAAATTGTCGGCAACATCCAGCAGCGCCTTGGCAAAATCCTGAACGGCAAATCGCCGGACCGAATCCACCTCTCTTCTTGTTCTTTCTCGAAGATTCTCCATATCCGCATAAGAACGGAGCACAGTATCCTTCAAAGATCCGATCATATCGTCCTTTTCTGCGACCACCTTCTCTTGATCCATCAGCAATGCAATCAGTTCTTCCTTCTTCAACTCGATGTTGCCTGTTTCCGCAGTTGGCTTTGTCCCAGCCGCCGCCGCCGCCGTCGCTTCCCCTGCTGCCCCCCCTTGCCGCGATTCCCCCTCCTTCCCTGCTTGATCCGCCGCTGCGGTCTCGTCGGACCCCACCGACGCGGAGGAAGAGTACGGGGAAGACGACACGTTGCGCCTCGCTCCCGCGCAGACTGAATGCAGCTGCGCACCGCCTGCGACGGCGATCCGCAGAGCTTGCGCGGAAAGAAGGCGCCGTCCATGTGCGGCCGGTTGCCGGATCGTCGCTGCAGCACTCCCCCCCCCCATGCCACAGCCAGCATCTTGATGTATTAGGGAGGGGGAGGGAGGGGAGGAGGGAAGGAAGGGAGAGGAAGAGAGTGAGGAAGAGGGAGAGGAAGACGCACGGTCCCCATGGGAGGATAGCACGCCACCCACTGGAATGATTGGTCGACGAGGATGATGATGATGATGATGATGCTTGTAAGCTCGGTGACACGTGTCACCTTGCGGAAGGTTGGCGCGGGAAAACGTAGCAAGGAGGCGGCATAAGGGGGCGCCGTAATGCTCTGTCTCGACCAGCGATCCGCCAGGAAAGAATGACTTCAACAGCTCTTGACTGCCATCGCCGCCCCTCGAGCTAAGTGGCCTAGGTAGTCGGGCAAATGACGAGCCGCCACGTGGCAGCTGTAGTTGTCCGATCGGTCCGGCGGCGGCTCTGCGGAGCGTTTTGTCAAGCACAGCCCATGTCCGACCGCCGGCCATCTTCCACCAAGCGAACCCGGCTGAAGAGCGGCACGGTACGCGTACTCCACCTCACTGCCACCTACCTTCTCCCCTCTAGCAGCAGCACTAGGTAAATTCTTCGAGGGTACACGTCCTTCGTCTCAATGCCACCTACCTTCACCTCTAGCAGCAGCACTAGCAGCAGCAGCAGCAGGAAAGGCTCAGCCCTCCGCGGTCTCCGTCACACACACCGACTCTCGCCACGCACGAAGGAGAAGGGAGTGACCCACCTACATGGAAACCCGATCACCCGAGGTCGACATCCGGGATCGTGGACAGTAACCACGACGGGCAGCTACCGGTACCCAGGCCGACTCGCAAGCTTCTTCCCGTCCGTGTGGCACCCGAGGCATGGAAACTGCGAGCTTCGTCAGACCCATCATCGCAAGGGGAGCTCGAGCAGGCAACGGCGAGTCGTGCCGAAAGACGCCAACCCCCTACAAACTTTGCCAACGCACGGTCAGACCCATCGCAAGGGGAACTCGAGCAGGCCCCCACAGGGACTGTGGAGTGGGGGGAAGCGGAGAGACATGACAGCGAGGCGTAGGACTGAGGATCGCAGGCACAGGGACAGGGGCCGACAGGAGCCGCCAGCACGAGGACAAAGGTCAGACGAAAGGCTGGTGCATTCCAAGTGCACAGGACATAGCCCGATCCGTGAGACCGTACTATGGCGTGTCGCAAGTACGGACCTCTGGTGTCGTTCACCTCCGCTCCACATGCTGCTCGATGGAGATAGGCTCAACATGCGGCATAAACATGAACACTGACGGGTGAAGCATGTAGCCAAGTCAGTTGACCAAGGTTTAAATCAAGTCAGTCATAAGTTTGGTAGGCTTCAAACAAAGGTGGCATAAGCATGAACGCTGAATAATAAAGTATGTATAACTATGATCGGGGCACGAATAATCTCATAATGAGAGAATCACCGCACTACCACAAAACTTCATAAATTGCCCTTATGACTCTAGACCACCTTTCTTACCACATCAAACCAATGCAATGCCAAACAAGTGTTCTTTCAAGAATCGTTGCAGCTCAGATACCCACAAAAATTTTCCTCATTTATCGTATTGAATTTCTTGGATAACGCAAACAACTTTAGGTAGTAGTTGGGGATCTCGATTGAAATGAATCAATTGGAGTTGTTGTTCAATTTTCCCGCTGTGTACCTTCAAGACTCTTCTTATACATAAATGCTTTACCGAGACGAGCTCGAAACAAAGGCAACATAACATAAGTATTGATTGACAAAGCGTGCTAAATTTGAACTTTAAACGAAGTCAATCCTAATTCCGTCCTGCAGAGTCACTATGCGATGATACTTCACTACTCATCCTTATTGCTAGGCCTTTTGTCTTGCTTCATCAAACCAACTGAGTTAGAAACACGGTTATCATCCTCGTCGGAACTCAATAGTGGGCAAACAATGGGAAAAAAAATGTCTCATTTGCGATTATTATTTTGTAATAAGTAAAGCCAAAATTCTTTCTCGATACAATCAACACCCATGTGACTTTCATCCTTCAATTTAAACAATAAATGAAGCATTTTGTTTTCCCGCTTTTCTCATATGTTTGCACATTCTATTAAGTTACAAGGGTTTCAATCATCAAAGTTGAAAAAATATTTATAATTTTTTTCTTAGTGTTTCTTTTGTTCAGCAAGATCTGAAACTTAAACAAATCATCATATATAGCTTATTATGGCAAAGGATAAAAAAATGTTAATTAACCAACTTTGCAATTTTGTCAAAAGGGTGGTTCACTTGTGCAAATCAATGATATACCTCATTTTATTGGAATAAAGGACGTTCGTCAACCATCTCTATATTTTTATCAAAAGGGCGGTTCAATGACACAAACCAATGGTAAACCTCATTTTTTTTGTTTTTATAATGACACACAATTACCTTATAAATCCTTTCTTACAAATTTTCACAATATAGATCCTTATCTATCATTTTTTTTCCCACTTGTACTGAAATAGGTTTTTGAATTCTCTCCTTTGCGATAACGACTATTGAGATAGTTTTCCGTTGTATATGTTTGTTTCTTATTAACTATCACTAATCTTATTTGCAATCGAAAGTGCATCTCCTTCCCATCATATGTATGAGGGAGTAATTAAAAAAAATAAATGTATGTTTTTTTTAAGCATGTATTTTATTGAGTGGAGCTATTAGTAGTGAAAAGTAAGATATTTTTTTATTCACTATTGCTATAATTTATTTAAGTATTTTTTAAAATATAAATAATTATAGTTAAGAAGATCGGTATTGAACTAGGCTACAAGAGTAGCCCGGATCCACTTGCCCGGCCGGGCCAAAAAGAAATAAAAAAATAAAAAATAAAAAAAATATAATTTGGTAAAGAATTTTGATGTAACCCTGAGGCAAAAGTTGTTCACTTTTTTTTTTTTTATAACATAGTTTTTTTTCGTTTTTTTTTTTTTTTTTTTTTTTTGCTGTGACCTTCTCTTGTCTTTGCACAGTCGGGTCGTCCGGAAAAAAAAGGTAACTCGGGCGGCCCGACTCATACCCTAGGTATGGAAGTTATAAATTTTTTGCCAAAATTATATTGTGAATGTTATTGCAAACATCTTACGGTTGAAACCGTTATAAGCTCAATGCATGATTAAAAAAAAAAAAACAATGTGATAAGTTCAAATATTTTTAAGCCCAATAAGTAACAATCTTATAAATGATTATCAATATTATTAGAAAACGAAAATAGGGAAGGTATTGAAAGAAAACATATTAATACTTTAGTATAAAAAAATGAGACAAGATAAATATAAGAACTAAGGATCGATAACAGTGTAAAATTTTATGCATGAATATTGCATAATAAACAAGTAAAATAACTCGTAGGTGACGAGACTAATCAATAATAAAATATAAGTAATAATTGAACAACTTATATATATATAAAATTTGAAACAAATTTTGTCGGTATGTTGTTGATTTTGAAATGTAGATAATAATACAATTTCATTACTTATAAACAAATGATAGTCCAATGTTACAACATCAGTATTCATAGTTGACATTTAGGTAACAATAAGAAGTTACACTCATAATATTATAACACAAGCAAGAGTACAACAATCATAATGTGTTTTTTAGTTTTTATAAAGCATATATTTTCGATATAAGATAAGCGATTTCATAAAATAATTAATATAGTAAAAACCTTGAAAATTTTTAACCAAAGTACAGTCAGTCATTGTGTTTGCAAATAAACTTATACTAAAATTATTCATGATATAATTATTTTTTATCATCGTTCTAACTAACTGCGTTACCTTAGTAAAAATAAAATCAAATTATGTTCAATTCGAAAAATGTAATTGAAAAGGTATCAAGCTACGAAGATTTCTACGTCCGATCAGAAAGAGTTGCCAGGTCGAACGTGCAAAGGCCCCTAAGCTGACCCCCCAACGTTCGGGTCCCCGTACGGGGCCCGAACTCGAAGGGGTTCGGACCCCGCAAAAAAATATTTTGGTACCTAAAAATTATTATGTTTTTTTTTATTTTATTTTTGTGAGTTCTGTGTTATGTAAGCTACCTGTCTCTCAATTTTGAAGACATTCTGTGAAGCCAAACAATAATGAAAAATCGGCAAAGATTGTGGTGTCAAAACTAATTTGTTTTTTTTATCTTTTCACTTTTTGTTTTCCCTTTATTTCGAGGCCTGAAAAAAAATATTATTTTTTCAAACTTTATTTGTAGGTTCTATATTATGTAAGATACATATGTATAAAATTTCATGGCATTTGACGAAGCTTAAAAAAAATGAAAAATCGCCAAAGATGGCGGTGTCAAAAACTTGCTCGCCCACGCAATAATTTCATTCTCGTTTTATTTTTTTCTTATTTTCATTAATATTATTTATTTTTTATATTTTATTTTTATTTCAAATTCGGTAAGGAATTTGGATGTACAATACAGGCAAATATTGTTTAGTTTATTCTTCTGCATGACATTTATTTTTTCAGAATTTTTGGAAACGTTTTTTTTTTTTTTTTTTTGTTCTATGTTCGGCCGAACGTCCGAACGCGTCGAGAGGGGGTCCCAAACGTTCGGGTGTTCGGGTTCGGGTGTTCGGCCCGTCCCAAACGTCGGCAACCCTGAATATATATATATATATATATATATATATATATATATATATATATATATATATAATGTCATCAACCCGTACATACGGAGGTCCCCGGGCAGACCTCCGTACGTACGGGCGTTCGGGGTCCCGTACCGGATCCGAACCCAACCGCGTTCGGCCCCCGCCAAAAACTATTTTGGGGCCTAAATTTTTTTTTTTTTTCTGAATTTTTTTTTGTGAGTTCTCTATGACGTGAGGTACATGCGTGTAAATTTTCAAGACATTTGGCTTACCCAAATAAGAAATAAAAATTGCCAAAGATGGCGGTGTCAAAACGTGCTTGCCCACATATTTTTTTATTTTTTATTTTTTGTTTTCATTTTAGTTCGGGGTCTAAACAATTTTATTATTATTTTTAATTTTTTAGTGGGTTTTGTATTATGTGAAGTAAACATCTGTAAATTTTTAGAGCATTTGGCTATGCAAAAAAATAAATAAAAAAAAATCGCCAAAGATGGCGGTGTTGAAAACATGCGCTCGCACTGACTAAATTTGATTCTCCTTTATTTTTATATATTTTTATATTTTTTTATTATTGGTATTTGTTTTCCATATTTTATTTTTATTTCAAAATTGGTAAGGAATTCGGATGTAATGCTCAGACAAATATTGTTTAATTTATTGTTTTCCATAACATATCTT